ACCCACACCCACACCCACACCCACACCCACACCCACACCCACACCCACCCACAACCACACCCACACCCCACACCCACATCCACATCCCACACCCATCCACCCACACCCACACCCACACATTGTAACTCAGACAAATATATAATATAATTTTATCTTTTTCTATTGAAGCACAATAAAAAAAAACACTTGTTACTCGTATAGACGAACACACCAACATGGATTTGTATAACGCGATCAAAAATAATGGTGATGAAGAAACGGTCAGCAATTTGATTCAGAGAGGCGCCGATTGCAATTTATCACATTATGATGATCATACTAAAACTTTTATCTGTCCTATTCAGTTGGCTGCAGATAATGACCTACAATCTCTTCTTCGTCGTCTTTATGAAGATCGTAAGAGTCCAACAAAAAATCAACTCGAAAAACAGGTGAAATACTATACGAGTAGTCATGATCAATCAAACAAATAGAATAATGAACAAGTTTTTGAATATATAGTTAGTCGTCTTATTTATTTCTATATCACTGAACATAGAACTAAAAAAATTTTCGATACTTTTATTGCTGCTCTTCACGACTTTAATGATGTTACACATCGTGGAGAAGATTTATGTGGCGGATCTAGACTAGAAATATTCCTTGCACTGCGTATTCACACTCTATTTCGAACAATTATTGATAAGAAGATCAACAACGACAATCATATGATCGAAATTATTGAAAAAGAACTTTTACATAATTTAGAAACATATTATTTTCTTATTGGAATATTATTTATTTCAGTGGTAATTACTCAACGAATGATCAATCAAAGCTTTTCTGAGATAGAATCGATAACATCATTGATCGACTATTATCAATGTATCGCAGAAAATCTCATAAAGAAAATTAAAATGCTTGAAATTAATGAAGAATATACGATTCCAACTGGTTGGATAGGACATGCTGTTTGTGTTTCTTTTAAACGCGTTAATGAAACACATATTATTATTCGAATTGATAATCCTAGTCCTGATTATCCACAAGACATGCACGAAATCGAATATTCTATCAATGGTTATAAGCGAATTAAACCAAAAGTACTTGGTAAATTGCATGTGAACAAGTTAGATGAGAATTTGGATAATTATTTCGTTTTACTAATTGATAGTGTCAAACGAGATTTAACATTAGATGAAGGTAGATCATTGATCTATAATCGCAATGGTAAAATTCGTCATCTTGAGGAAGTAGAAATTAATAACTTGCCTAATTTTGACGAACAAGCAAATGCCAATTGTTTTGTTAAATGCTTTGAACCCGGTATTCGGATACGCCTAGGTGAAATGCATCAACAATTTTACAATGAATTACTATTATGGGAGCAAAACAATGCAAATGCACTTGCGATGCGCTGTAAAACGGAACGACAGCGTTCAATCAACAACCGATTCGATCAGTTTACTTTGTTAGCTCAACATCCACCAATTGCACAGGAAATGTCTCTCAAAAATATACTGAAAACAAGCTACAAACAACATTATCAATATCTCACGAGTAACATCAACATAGAAACTCCTCTTCCTTTCAACGAAAAATATGTTCCTTCACGATTCAAACATAACAATACAATAATAAAACTTAAAGATATCTTGATCAAGCCTCACGTTCTAATGCTTGGTGATGCTGGCTGTGGAAAGACAACAGCCTGTCAATATATAACATATGCGTGGGCTGCTGGGAAATTATGGGAAGATGAATTCGATTGGTTGTTCTATATTAAATTGCAAAACTTAAATTCAGAGTTCTATCCTTCACAGTCCAATAACTATTCTGTAATCGATATTATTGAAAGAGAATGTTTTCAAACATATAAACTTTCTCCTTTAGAGAAACAAGAATTAAAACATTTGTTTGAAAATTCATCAAAGATTCTTTGGATTCTTGATGGATACGATGAACAAGTGGTTCCAAGTTATTTACTTCCAATTAAACAAGAATTATTAGATAAACGATGTCTACTTCTAACATCTCGTCCATATGCAACGGATGATCTTCGATATGATACTCAAATTCAGATTGAAAATTTTACAGATGAAGATATTTCAAAATATATAAAAATGTATTTTTCGTATACAATTCCAACTGTAGGCAGTGAATGTTGGTCATTTATTCGTTATTCTATTCGTAATTATGACCATTTGCGAGAACTAGCACATATTCCTGCATGTCTTGAAATAATGTGTGGTTTGTGGAAGAGTGACAAGGAAAAATTCGAATCTACAATGACAATGGGACAACTCTATGAGAAAATGTGTGAATATCTCTTACGAAGGTAAGTCTTCAAATTTCATAATCAATGCAATTTATTTTTAGCTGAAAAAGATATCTATCCGGAACCCAATGCCATGGCTTTTCTCCACTTAGAACAATTGGCATTTCACGCTACAAAATTCGACCGACTCACAATTAGTGGCCGTGAAATACCCAGTATTGCAGGTTTTCTATCTCTCTCCGTACTTCGAATTGGTTTACTTGTGCCAGAAAGACAAAAATCTTCTTCTTTACACGATGAAAGTTTTTACTATTTTATTCATCGTAGTTTTCAGGAATATCTTTGTGCTCGTTATATGTTTAAAATATGGAAATCATCAATTTCAAATGAACAAATGATGGAAGTACGTCAGTTTATTACTCATGAAAAATATAATCGTCGTATTCAAGAGACATTTCGTTTATTTTTTGAGTTGAAACTGTCTACTTTATGTATCGATCATTTTTGGTCAGCTGTCGATAGTGAACCACGTGATTTCGTTGGTCTTAGACATTATTCTCGCATTGCTCATTGGTTTCCTAGCGGAATCTGTGAATCTTCTCCAGAGAATCAGGAGAAGATTTATCAGAGGGTAAACAAAGCCATACTGGCACGGATATGCAATAGAAATCGTCATCCTCATGATGTTGCCAATACATATTTATTCGAGACATTTGCTAATGTAACAGGAGATCAATGTTGGATAGAAGCATGGAAGGAAGATCTTTACATAGAAGATCCATCTAAACGACGCTATTTTTTATCTGGTTTATGGTCGGAAGAGAATATCAAAGTTCTTAAAGAAAACTATGATAATATTTCTAAAGATTCCCAGGTCAAAAAATCTGACGTCAGATCGTGACACATCTTGTCAGATCTTGCACATACAAGATTGTTTATATGATCTTATTACAGGATCCGACAAGATCGTATACGTTGACTTTTTGAAAGATTTGATCAGATTCTGATTGAAAGATGCCAGCAGAAATCTTGCAACAATCATATCGTACGAAACGTATAAGAACAGGTATTATGACACGGACCTGGTCAGACACGATCATATAAGTTCTGTCATCAAGAAAATAGTTATAATTCAAAGACTATGAATCAAAGATGATCATACAAGATCGCATATGAATTTTCGTCTGAACTCGCACGTCTATTGATTTTGCTTAAACTACTCGAGAAGTTAGAATTCCTAAGAGTATTTGTTTTTTTTCTACAGCAGCGTGTATTTAATCTACCATACAACGACATGTATATGTCATGGACAAAATTAAAATTTAGTCAAATTTGAAATTTGCCTTGTCAAAAAGTCAGGCAAATTTCAAATTTGACCGAACTTTAATTTTCCCTATAACATATACATATAAACAAGAGAAAAAGTCAAAATTTCAGTGTTGCATGGCTATAACAAGAATTACATAAGTTAAAAATTCTTTTGTTTCTTGTCTCTTTAAATAGTAACAGTTGTGATTAGTAGCAGTATACAACTCGTCAAAACCTATTCGATCTAGAGTATGAGGCAATGAACGAAAGTTGTTCTGTAGACTTTTCTAACGTGTTATGAGCCTTTACATTCGTTTTAAAAACTTGATTAGAAAGGTATATCTTTTGCAACAGACCAATTGCTTTTACCAAGTGTGAAGAATAACTCTATCTGGAAACATCCATTAGAATAGTTTATCCAGTCGAAATAGTT